TTCAAGCAGGAGTCTCCCTACTGACCCCTCACCTTTCACTCCTGACCTGCTGACCCCACAATGGCCTCTCCCAGAAGCCAGACACAGGCATCTCCCCCTGGGCCCCACTGACATCGGGGTGCGTGGTCCTAGTGCAGTGGGTCCCACCCGCCGCCTGGGAGGCCTCACAGCACAGTGCTGGCTTCTGCCAAGCGGCAGCAGCAGCAGTCTCCCTCGCAGTACAACCCGACACCTCCAACATCCCCCAAACACCCGCAGGAGAGATGATTCAACCTACCCAGACAATAAACTTGCGACACTTCTAGGCAAGCAGATGCCCCCTGAGACCACACTCTTATGGAACAAATGGGACACAGAAGCTTAAATGCTGCATTGTCCCTGTGGTGTGAGAAACTGAAAGTGTAAATAAAGACAAAAATGTGTAACAGGCCAGGCATGGTGGTGCACACCTGCAATCCCAGCACGTGGGAGGCTGAGGCAGGAGGATGGTTGAGAGCTCAAGACAAGCCTGGGCTACTCAGGGAGCTCAAGGCCAGCCTGAACTTCCCAGACAGACCCTGTTTCAAACAGACCAAAAAAGAAAGTGTACTAGATACTAGGAAATAGGAAGAAAATGTTCAAATGGAGAGGGAAATTAGGGAGTGGGGAAAGGTAGGAAGGGAAAAGGAAAACGAGAGAAAAGAAGGAAAAATGGAAATGAAGCTTTTGCAAACAGCCAGGGGAAGGGATTGAGAGGAGGTGGGGGCAATGGGGAAAAAAAAAGAATCAAGTTATATCACATACAGGTGCAAATTCCCTATCAGTGTGACTATTATACATATCTAAAATGTAACAATAATCTTAATTAATTAAAAAATCCACCTCAGATGAAAACCACTGAGTCAGAGAATCTTTTTGAAGTAAAAATGTCAGGGGCTGGCCAAATAGTTCAGCAGATTAAAGCACCTGCCAGCAGGTGCAGGGGCTGGGGATTCGATCCCCTGGCCTGCCATGCCAGCCCTGCCCCCCGGGGTGCTCTGAGAGGCAATCGAGACTGGGCGCGGTGGTGTGCCCCTGTAATCCCAGCTCTTGGGAGGCTGCAAACAGGACAATCACTACGAGTCCAATCTAGTAGTAAGACCTTGAACACCCTGTAGACCCTTTTGTAAAATACAGGAAAAAAAATGTCATGTCATTCTCCTCGTCCAATCTTCCAGTGGTTTCAAAGGTCCATAAATTCCTGGCCATGTCCACAAGAGGCACCGTCCGTGGCCCCAGTGGCGTTCACTCCCCACGGGCTCCCAGGTGCACTGCAGGTCCCTGTGTGTGTCTCTGGGCCATGCAGTCTCCCTGTTACATATCTCAAAGCTCGTATGACTCCCAGACAACACCTTCCCCTTCGCTCCCTGACCCGCTGTCTCCACACACTCTGATCTTCTCCAGAGAGGTCCCACTGAATCTCCACCCCTATGTGCCTGGCACCCAGGAGTACCGTTTGCATCGAGCGGCCCACAATTGCTCCTTTCTCTCTGTCCACCCCTCAGGAGTCCCCTTCCTCACGAGGTCTGAGCCTGATCGTGCAGCAGAGGCCCCAAGAGTGCCTGTGAAGCCACGTGTGTGGTGCACTCCAGGAAGAAGAGACAGGAAGGTGGCAGGTTTGAGCCCATCTGGGAAACATTAGTGATTTGATGAGACCTTGTCCCAACATTTATAAGGTAATGATAATAATAATAAAAGGGGCTATGGACATAGCTCAGTGTGAAGGCCCCGGGTCCAATCTCCAATGTCACAGAAAATGTGGCTGTGAATGGACCCCTGCCTGTCTTGCTCCTGGGAGCCCACGGCACCCGTGACACCAGTCTGGGCTGTCATCCTGCAGCCTCGTGGCCAGGTGTGAGCATATGGAGCCTGCACCACCAGCACGACCCATGGGAAGGCCACCTGCCAGCCCTCTGTGGCTGCATGGGCCACAGGCAACAAGACAAATGTCCCCACGGGCCGGGTCACACTGCCAACCCACAGAATTGTGAGCCACCAATGATTGCTGCACTAATCAATAAGTCTGGGGACACCTTGGTGTTTCCAAGGCTGGCCTTGAACTCCAGGTCATCCTCCCACCTCAGCCTCGTGAGTGCTGGGCTTCCAGGCATTTGCCACCACACCAGGCTGGGATGGCTTGTCACACAGCAGATGCAGACTCACTCAGTTTTCCATAAAAACTGGCTGGACCAATGAGGGAGGGAAGGAACATTCAGGCTTTCTCTGGGCTCCACCAAGACTGCCCGGGGACCCCTCTGCCCTCACCTTTCTCCTCGCCATCACAGCCGGAGGCCCCAACCTCCACGGCCTCCCAGTCCTTGGTGGGGGTGAGGTGTGCTGGCTTCTCCCAGGCCCGGCTCTCCCAAGGCAGCAGCGTTTTCACCCTCTCGGGCTCCAGCAGGCCCCGCATCTGCTCAGGCCGGAGGCTCTGCATGTCCCCGGGAGGTGGTGGCGGGGCTGCAAAGGCAGGCTTCTCGTCCTCTTCCCCTGCCCAGGGTCCCGCGGGCTTCCAGACACGGTGAGAACCTGAGGACCGACACACAGTCATTCCACAAACACTGACAAGCTGCAGAGGACGGGGAGAGTGCCAGGTGCGGTGCCAAGTGCCAAATGACGCAATGATCAGAACAGAGACCCCGACCCTCAGGGAGCTGCACCGGGGAGCACAGCGTTTCGAGTGGGATAGGAAGACAGAGGGGAGACGGTAGCAGAGTGCCTCACCCGGGGCACACACACGCTTGAGCTGCTGGAAGCAAAATGGGTGCAGCCCTTGGATACAGCCCAGTCGAGGGCCTTCCGAACAGAACCCTTTGGCATAAGAAATAGCGTCAAGTGGCAACACACGGCACTGTAGCAAATTAAACGGCTTCTGCACAGCGCAGGAAACAACCGACAAATTGAAGGGATGCCCTGCAGATGGGGAAACTCCAGGCAGCCGTCCCCCGGAGAGCGGGCTAGTGTCTAAAATACACAGAGGACTCAAAAAATTAGATTCCCCAGACAAAAGACTTAGTAACTATGGGTGACTGAAATGAGCAGACCCTTCTCAGAAGAGGTACAAACGGACAATAAATACATGACGAAACGCTCAGCATCTGTAGCCGTTAGACAAACGCAGATGCCCAGGGACGACGTGAGATTCCACCGCACCCCAGAAGAAAAGGCCAGCCTCGAGAAATCAAATGACAATGAAGTCTGATGTAGCTGCAGAGAACAAGAGACGCTCGGAGGTTGTGGGTGGGAATGCACGTGAATACAGCCGCTGCAGCAACCCGCGTGGCCACCCCTCGGGCGGCCGGGGGGCTCAGTGGACTAAAGCGCCGGCTTAGGCAGGCGCAGCAGCCGGCTTCGATCCCTGGGCGCTCTGAGACCGTGATTGAGACCGAGTGTGGTGGCACGCGCCCGTAATCCCAGCACTTCAGAGGCTCAAAACAGGTGACTCACCATGAGTTCAATCTGTGTAGTGAGACACTGTAGATGCCGCACTCAATACATTTTAAAAATTAATTAAATCAATACAATTTAAAAGCCATGGAGAGCCCTCAGAAAACTCAAGGTAGAAATGCCATCCGACGCAGCTATTCCTCGTCTAAGTATCTTCCCGTGAGAGTTAAGCCACCACGTTGCACCGATCCGTGCACACTTGTGTTTGTCGTGACACAACTCCCACGGCTAGGCCACGCGAGCAGCCGCGTGTCCCCAACAGACGAAAGGATCAAGAAAACGCGGCCCTTACACGCTGCGGAGCACTCCGCTGCCCTAAAGAAGGATAAACTGGAGTCGTTTGTAGGGAAGGGGTGCATGGAGATCCTGCTAAGTGGAGTGAGCAGACACGGAGCTTCAATACCACGTGCTCTCTTATCTGAGAACCCCAAGAATAAACAAAAAGCACCCCGAAGTTGGCTGGCAGGAACCGCAGAGGCGGACCTTCAGCAGAAGGGGTGGGACCAGAGACGCGGGGGGAAGGCGTGAGAGGAGCGCCTCAGGCAGCTGCGTCCCCCGCCGACGCCGCCGCAGGAGGGGGATCGTTCTTGGGCAAGCACGGACCGTTTTTAAAAAATTAAATACTGCAACGAAGGAAAAGCAGACAGGGGAAAGATCCCCAGATCCCGAAGCAGGGGAGGAGCCCTAGCCCGGGCAGTGGCAGAGAGCAGCGGCAGCGCGTTTGAAACTCCTCAGATCGAAGTGTGACCTGCGGCTTACGTTAAACCGTGTTACTCCTATTGGGTGAATAGCGAGATTTATCTCAGGAGGCGCGCGCAGCGGACGGGTGGACGCGGCGACTGTCTGTTTCTGCTCTACCGACCTTCATCCACGTCTTCCCCCGCAGCCGCCGCCTCCAGCCCCCAGACCCGAAGCCCTCGCGGCCAGGACACCCCGCCCGGCCCCCTGCCCACCCCTGCTGCAGGCCCCCAGTCCTCCTCGCCTGCGCCCAGTGACCTCCCCGGCCCGCTGGAGCGCACCGTGCACCCGGACTCCGCGCCTCCCAGCCCGGTCCTCCTACACTGCACCTCTGCGCCGGGACGCCACAGCCTCTGGGTCCTCCCGGACGGCGACCCCATCCACCAGCGTCGCCCTCCTCACTCTCCGCTGGTCAAGATTCGCCTTTCCTTTTGTGATACAGAGACTTGAACCCAGGGCCTTCGCACTGAGCCGCACCTCTCGCCCGTCTTTATTTTGAGACTGAGTCACTCAGTTACACAGGGCGGCCTGGAATTGTTATTCTGCCTCGACCTCCCAGAGTGCCGGATCACCCCCGCCGGGCTGGGCTGAGGTGCGTGACTGATCCCCTGCGCCCCAGGCCTGGGCAGGAGCACTGCTGCGCCCGCACCCTCCGTGCCCTCCAGGGAGGAGAAGCTTCCCACCCGCCCACCCTTGAGCCGGTCTCTCCCCAGGAGACGCCTCAGCGGGCCACCAAGGAGCCTGCAAGGTCGCTTGCCCTGTGTCCCAAGCTGGTAGCGCCCTCCGTGCCCACCCAGCAAGCAGGCAGGCCTTTATTTCATGGTTAGCCACAACAAACGAAGAAACAAAAACGTTACAAAGCGACTCTGACTTTCCTTTCTAGCCCACAACGTAGGGCTTCCCTTGGAAATCCACGGAGGTGGGCTGTAGAAGCAGGCTGACTCGTGGGTGCTTCTCCTGGCCCAAACGCAAGGCACAGGCATTTGCTAGAGCTGAGACGTGCGCTCCCCGGAGCACCGGAGCTCTGGAACTCCGCAACGCGGCCTGCAGCGCTCAGCCAGGAGAAAGGGAAACCCAGGCCCTCACAAGCACTGGCTGGTGGAGCTTGGCGCCCTCGGTCTTCCCCAAACAAAGCTGCTCTCCGCAGTCCACACTACTCACACGCATCGGAAAACCGTCACCACCCCAGATGTCTACGGACAAAAGGCAGGAGGTGTTAGCTACAGTTCCTTTACACAAGGTGTGCGACTCAAAAGGGTGCGGGTGGGGGTGGAGCCGACGCACACACATTTAAATACATGTAAACCGTGTAGGCACACGCATACGCTGGGCACACACGCTCGCACACTGCTCAGTACCCCCGTAGGGTTGGGGTGCAGACCCTACGTATTCAAAATCCGGGGACTCCGGTCCATGACAGTGACACAGCATTTCCATGGGGAGCACTAAGCAAGGGCAGAAAAGTCTGCACGTGGCCTTGAAGGCAGCACCAGCTCTGGCTTGTGTAATAGGTAACAGAGAGGCTATTTCAAAGTAAGGAAAATATTATTATTATTATTATTATTATTATTATTATTTGTATTTGTATTTGGTACAGGGTCTCACTGTGCAGCTCGGACTCATTTGTGATCCTCCCATTTTCAGTCTCCCCAACACTGGGATGACAAGCCTGTGCCACCCTGCCCAGTCTTGAAAATGGTAACCTTATATTATTCACACCAGTTGTTTTGTTTGTCTTTTTGAGGCAGGGTCTCGCTATGCGTTCAGGCTGGCCTTGAGCTTACTTTGTAGCCCAAACTCTTAACAATCCTCCTGCCTCAGCCTCCCGAGTGCTGGGATTGCAGATGTGCACCACTTTGCCCAGCTAACACTAGTTTATTTTTAACATTATTTAAGAGTAAGACTGGCAGACACGGTTGGTTCTCGTAACTGGAGAGCAACAAAACTTGAGCTCCAGAAGCCAGCTGCAAGGTAAGTGCGACTTAGCCAGACGGTGGTGTTTTACTTACTTTCAGTGTTACCTCAGGGACGCCCGCCCAGCCTCAGGCAATGGCCGAGTCTTCCCCCATGTTGCACGATAATAACCTTAGTAGTTTCTCTAAGAATAAATCCTGCCTAGCACTTAATAACAAAGACATGTGTAGCCAACTATAAAATGTTGTTGTCTGTCATTTTTGTACTTGCTTCTGAAAACCTATAGAAGTGATTGGTAACCTCAAAACAAGGATGGTGATTTGAACCTCTGGGTTCTGCAGCCATCTAGTGGAATTAAACTCCCTTCCAAAGTGAAACAGAAAAACCCATTGCCACCGAGTCATGACCCCTCACGCACCTGCACGCTGTCTCCAGGTAACGTAATGCGTATCACAGCGGCAGGGCTCTGTACACAGTTGTCCTGCTGCATTGTCTAGGGACAATTCAGGTAGGGCAGGAGAAAGGAGGGTGGGTAGAAAGAACTATTTTGTCCTTTGTCACCTCTGCGTGCTGGGTCAGCCCGGGGGTAATCTACCCAGAGTACTTCAGCGCCCAAGACTGGAGGCGCCAGGGGCAGGGCACAGCAAGGCCAGCAGCTCCAGCCCTTACAGGGCCCCCAACTGCTGGTGTGACACCTCCAGCTAGAGTCTCGGATGGGCAGCTGGGGGTCTCCACACCCACAGCTAGCTTGGCTTCCGGGAAAAGCACAGCCTTGTAGCCTACCCCAACTAAGACAGCCCCCAGTGGGAGCGATCTCCGAGTGACGGGCCCAGGCAGCCTCCAGCCCCAGTGGAACCACCTCATGGGAACTGAACTGCTCCCAACTGTAAGGATCCCCCGGAGCCAGGGAACCTTCGTGACGTGCACCCTTGGAAGCGTGGCCTGCTCTGCATGTGGCCAGTCTGAACCGCACTAGAACGCAGCCCGCAGCTACCACATTCTCCCTCCCTTTCTAAGAACACCCCCCTCCCCACCATCTGCCCGGGCCTCGCGCTGAGGCATCCTGAGATTCTTTTCCTATGATGGAGTCTAGCACTCACCTTGCAGGTGACTTGTGCCCATCCCTTCCTCAGGCCCCATCCAGGGACTTAACAAGAAAAGGTCTGTATGTGTTCAGTATGGATGCGATTTGGTCTCACTATTTTCCACCCACAGCTGGTTAAATCTGTGTACTCGGGAGCCAAAGAGCCTCACTGCATGCATATATATATATATTAGGATGGGGATATAGCTCAACATCATAAGCACCTGCCTGGCAAGTGCAAGGTACTAAGTTTG